GGAAATGAGACAGAGAGAGAAAAAGAGAGTTAGAGAAAATTACAGATAATGAGTCAGGGAGAGAATGACAGAGAGAGAATTACAGAGAGAGAATGACAGAGGGATACACAAAGAGAGACACCGAGAGAATGAAAGAGAGAGACAGGGATAGGGACAGAGAGAAACAGAGAGAATATCAGAGATAGACATACAGTGGCACACAAAGAGAAACACAGACATGATGACAGAGAGACAGGGAGAGGGAGACAGAGAGAATGACAGAGAGAGACAAATAGAGAATGGGAGAATGACATGAGAGAGACAGGGAGAGACAGAGAAAATGACAGAGAGAGAAAGATAAAGAGAATGCCAGAGAGATAGACAGAGAGAATGATCGAGGGGAGATATATAGAGAGACACAGAGAGAGAAAGAAAGATAAAAGAGAGAGACAGAGAGAGAAAAAGAGGTAGTGAGAATGACAGAGAGTGAGTCAGAGAGAGAATGACAGAGAAATACATAGAGAGACACACAAGAGAGACACAGAGAGAATGACAGAGAGAGTCAGGGAGAGAGAGAGACATAGAGAGACAGAGAGAATGAAAGAGAGAGACAGAGAAAAGGACAGCGAGAGCAAGACATAGAGAAAAACAGAGAGAATGACATAGAGTGAGAGAGACAGAGATATACTTAGAGCTAGACACAGAATGACAGAGAGAGAAATGGAGAATGAAAGAGAGTGAAAGACATAGAGAATGACTGAGAGAGAGAGACATAGAGAGACAGAGAGAAATACAGATAGTGAGTCAGAAAGAAAATGATAAATAGAGAGACATAGAAAGACACACAAAGAGAGATACAGAGAGAATAACAGAAAGGGAGAGACAGTAAGAGACGGAGAGAAATGCAGAGATAAAGAGACATAGCGAGACAAAGAAAATGACGTAGATAGAGAGAGAGAGAATGACAGAGAGAGGGAGAGACATAGAGCTAGACAGAGAATGACAGAGAAAGACAGAGACAGAGAGATAGAGTGATACGGAGAGAGAGATAGAGATGGTGAGAGACACAGAGAATAAGTGACAGAGTGGACTGATAGAGATAATGGAGGAGAGATAGACAGAGAGAGAAAGAAAGAAACAGACACACAGAGAGAGAGAGAGAGACAGGGAGAAGAGAGAGACAGAGACAGAGTGAGAGGGAGATGTCGATGTTATTCGTTAAAAAAAACTAATTCTTGCTAAAAATAAAAATAAAAATAATTCCCCTCTGTTAGTGTCTCGTCCTCCTTCTACCACAGTAATGACAGTTGTGTGATGTATATTCTTTTCAATATTTAAAAAGAATGGATATTTTAGGTCTGCCAACGTCTTTAAAATGTTGGTCCCATTATTGAAAATTATGGTCCAATCACTTAAAAGGCTGGTCCAAACACTAAGAATGTTCTTCCAATCCTTAAAATTCTGTTCCAATCACTAAAATGTTCGTCCAATCATTAATATTATGGTCCAATCAATTATAACTTCGGATATGTTTGATATACACACTGAGGGGAAATCATTTTCTATCTTTAAAACCAATTGGTTTTCCCAACGGAGACTTTTCATCCATCCAAACATGCAGAATTAAACATCTTACTAATTAAATTGTGCAGATGTTAAACTCTTGCACACATCTCCTCAGGTTTGACGGCATGAACCAAGTCTTGGAGGGATGAGCAATTATGACATAAGTAGCTGAGCTTCATCTCTTTTATTCTGTCGTCTGAGACCTAAAACATTGTCAAATCGCATGCCAGTAAAGCTGCTCCTCCGACAGTCTCCCACGGAAATGGACAGTCTTGCTCACGCCCACTTAAATGAAGGAGAAACAGCAGATTGCTTCATGTGTCTGATATCTTGAAGAACAAAACACTGATCCTTGGAAGGCTGGTGTCTTCGTGCATTTTGGAAATAATAAATGTCTTGTTCAAATTCTGTTTCAGTGGCATTAACGATGCTTAATAATCCACATCAAAAGTGCACATCAACAGTCCGCATCAACAGTCCACATCAAGAGTCCACATCAACAGTCCACATCAAGAGTCCACATCAACGATCCACATAAACAGTCCACATCAAGAGTCCACATCAACAGTCCACATCAAGAGTCCACATCAATAGTCCACATCAACAGTCTACATCAAAAGTCCACATCAACAGTCCACATCAAGAGTCCACATCAACGGTCCACATCAACAGTCCACATCAACAGTCCACACCAAGAGTCCACATCAACGATCCACATAAACAGTCCACATCAAGAGTCCACATCAACAGTCCACATCAACAGTCCACATCAAGAGTCCACATCAATAGTCCACATCAACAGTCTACATCAAAAGTCCACATCAACAGTCCACATCAACAGTCCACATCAACAGTTCACATCAACGGTCCACATCAACAGTCCACATCAACAGTCCACATCAGCAGTCCACATCAACGGTCCACATCAACGGTCCACATCACCTGTCCACGTCAACATTCCACAGGGTTCATCCATTAATTACGTCAACAATATTTAAACCCACCCTTCTTGTCAACAACTGTTAAATTATCAATGCCCCACCCTCAGTATTTATGTCAACGTTTCTGTAACCCACCCTCCCCCCCCCCCGGTCAAAAAAAAATTATAATATAAATGAATATATAAATCTATTTTACTTTGTACTGATATATTAAAATGACACATACCCCCCCTTCTTTTCAACAACTTTTAAATTATCAATGCCCCCCCCTCAGTATTTATGTCAACGTTTCTTTAACCCACCCCCCCCCCCCCCCCGGTCAAAAAAAAATTATAATATAAATGAATATATAAATCTATTTTACTTTGTACTGATATATTAAAATGACACAAAATTGTAAGAAAAACTTTTTATGGCATCTTTAGCTTTTTAATCAACAAGTTAATACTGTATATAACTGAAACTTATATAACTATTTTAATTAACACTCATTAAATTTGTTTTAATAGTGTAATTTTCAGTCAATTTTTAAGATAAAAATGTTAATAGAGAAACCATGATTGTTGATGTCAACTAATCTAAACTCCCCCTCCACCTTGTCAACGATTGTCAAACATTTTGAAACTCCCTCCCCACTATTTTTGGCAAAATTAATGGGTGACAACTCTGTAGTCCATATCAACGGCCCACATTAACATTCGCGTCAACAGTCAACATCAACAGGATACATCAACAGCCCACACCATCAGTCCATATCAACGGCTAACATCAATGGCCCACATCAACGGACTACATCAACAGTCCATGTCAACAGGCCACATCAACGGACCACTCATTTACGTCTAAATGCGCTAAATAGTACATACTAATTTGCAATAAATAGTGTAAAATTTCAACCAACCTCTTAATAACTAAGTTTTTCTTTTATCAATCATGTATAGATATGTACGTCTGCATGTATGTACTTGTGCGTAATTTATCATTAACAGAACTGTAGCAACTGATTTTTATTATGGGAATGTTTTGTATAAAACTCAGTGCATGTAAAAAAAAAACTAATAGACAAAAGATGTATTTCAACCCCAATACGTCACAAATTCAAAGCACACAGCAACAGGCACACGACTAATCTCCACACCAAACCACGGGGCTACCGCTGAACAACTCAATAACCCATTCCTTCACTGACCCCCCAAACCCCCCCAAAACTCTTCGTTTAAAAAAAAAATTAAAACTGAAATTTGACGAGAATTTTAACGTTTGAACTGGTAACCGAGTGACACAAATGTAAATGTAGAGCTGTGGACAGTTATGTTTCATTTTTGGTGGCGCTGATAGAGATGTGTTTTAATTTATTTTGTAAACAAGCATGAAATAAGGTATTCCAATGGAAGTCAATGCAGTACAATTACTTTCAAGATTTCTATGCATTTTTATTCAATAAATTTTACGCTGAGAGTCAAATATAAGAAAAGCAATAGTGAAAGCAAAAAGGTGAATAGATATTATCATAATCTAGAAAAATTGTTCTTTATTCAAAAGTTAATCAAAGTTTTAAAAATGGAGAATGTAATAAAATATCGAATATGCCACCCTTGAGCTGCCAACAGCTGATGCCGCGTCTTCGCCTCCCTTAAGTTTGCACTCTTAAAAATTGCATATCTCTTATTTTGTTTTATTTTTTTTTCTTTGGTTTTAAAATGTAAAGATCTGGTTGATGATCTGCTGTTATCTGAAGACCATATTCTCAAAAAAGTTCATTTAAAGAAGAAGTGGGAAATCCTGCTACCATATGACACGTGTTGTGATCGGGCACCTAAAGTTGGACGAATTCGATTTTTAAAGTTCATATGTATAAAAGTTAATGTTAGTTTCTATTTTTTTTTAAAGCTATTAATGCATGTTCGATATTTTTTTGGGACTACTATTATTGACAATTTCAGTTGAAAATTTCAGTGTACCGGAATCTTATGTTATATTAAGGCAAATGAGAAGTTTTACGTAAGTAGTATAAAATATTATTGTAGTCTAAAAACTGACTTCGCTGACTGCTTATTTATACGAAAATGCCTTGCCTATATTTCTGCTGCTGTAACAAAAAAAAAGAAAAGAAATAGTTGCGCCAATAAATAAAGTTTATTGTTAAGAACAAACTAGGCTCTGCGAATTAGAGTGCTCAATAATGTTATTTATAAAGTCAAAATACGGATGTTAATTTTTCGGTGTGAACATAGAAGCTGAGATGGACCAAGGCTGAACCTTTGTGCACATTTGTGCTTTTTGCTAATGAAGATGAAAGTTGTGTTGTTGTTTTTTTTTGTTGTTGTTGTTTGTTGTTGTTTTCTTTGGGGGGGGGGGGGTTGGTTTGTTTTTAAAACTGCTTAAAATGCGATTCAACAGTTTTTTTTTTAACAAAATTTTATTTGGTTGCAGTACTTTCTTCTTTTTAATTAGTGGGTAAAATTTTATTTTTTTGTTGTTGTTTGTTGTTGTTTTCTTTGGGGGGGGGGGGTTGGTTTGTATTTAAAACTGCTTAAAATGCGATTCAACAGTTTATTTCTTAACAAAATCTTATTTGGTTGCAGTACTTCATGCTTTTTAGATAGTGGGTAAAATTTTACTTTTCGTTCGTCACATTTTTCTCTTCTCCTTTTTTTTTTTCTTTTGAACAGTTGTTGTTCCCCCTTTATCCCATGGGTACAAGTGTGAAATTTTACTGCTACCTACATGACAAACTTTACAATTACAATTAAGACAATAGCTTCTGCAATGAAGGAACTCTTTCCTGAACCCGTCACGACTTGGATTCCCGAGGATTGTGTACTTGGCTCAGAGTAAGGGTTGGAGTCTGTAACATTGACACCCGAGTAGGCAGTTCCAGCAGGCAGGGGGCTGGTTTCCGTGGTGATCTTGTAACACGAAGCTGTAATTTAAAATTTAAGCTTTAAAAAAAAAATTGATTTGGTGCTTCAACAAAATGTACAAGTGCCAACCACATTCACTCTAACTTTTTTATTGCTGTCACATCTTTTTGTTGTCAGAAAGAAAATGCAAATGTTTAATTTATTTAAATTTTAATAAATAGAATTATTGGTGGGCCCAATCAGGTCAAAACGAACAAATATATATTATCTTTTGCGTTTTCTGCATGAAATAAGATGAAAGTATAAAAAAAAAAACATACGTATTTATGATAAAGGGTCTTACTAACGTGTGTATTCATTTTAAAAGTACTATACTGACGTGTATATTCATTTAAAAGTATCATGTAAAAAGTTGTATTATTTACAAATAAGAATCGACAAGCTATAAAATCTTAGCTATAAAAGGTGTAAAGCTGCAGTGTTTTATATTTCAAGAAAGCAACAAACAGTTTTCATGACATTTAAAACACGCAAGCTATTGACAGGAACATGGCCAACTAATGTCGTTATGTAAGAGCAAAGACATCTAATGTCGTGATGTAAGAGCAAAGACAACTAATGTCGTGATGTAAGAACAAAGACAACTAATGTCGTGATGTAAGAGCAAAGACACCTAATGTCGTGATGTACGAGCAAAGACAACTAATGTCATGAAGTAAGAACAAAGACAACTAATGTCATGAAGTAAGAACAAAGAGCACTAACATCATTATGAAAAAAAAACAACAAAGACCACTGTGATCATGTTTTAACAAATAAGTCCATAAAACATCATAACATAAGAAATAAAACAGTTAATATCATGGTTTAAGAACAAAGAGAACTAACATCATATGAAAGAACGGAGGCTCTTAAACCTAGCAGCTCTTTTCAGTATCATGTACCACTAGTATCATGATTTAGAAGAAAGACCACTAGTATCATGATTTAGATGAAAGACCACTAGCATCATGAATTAGAAGAAAGACCACTAGTATCATTAATTAGAAGAAAGACCACTAATATAATGATTTAGAAGAAAGAACACTAGCATCATGAATTAGAAGAAAGACCACTAGTATCATGAATTAGAAGAAAGACCACTAGTATAATGATTTAGAAGAAAGACCACTAGCATCATGAATAAGAAGAAAGACCACTAGCATCATGATTTAGAAGAAAGACCACTAGTATCATGATTTAGAAGAAAGACCACTAGCATCATGAATTAGAAGAAAGACGACTAGTATAATGATTTAGAAGAAAGACCACTTGTATCATGAATTAGAATAAAGGCCACTAGTATCATGAATTAGAAGAAAGACCACTAGTATCATGATATAGAAGAAAGACCACTAGTATCATGATTTAGAAGTACGACCACTAATATAATGATTTAGAAGAACGACCACTAGATATCCTGATTTAAAAGAAAGATCACTAATATCCTGATTTAAAAGAAAGATCACTAATGTTATGACTAAAGAAAAAAGACCACTAATATCATGATTAAGAAGAACGACCACTAATATTATAATGAAAGAATAAAGACCACTAATATCATGATTTAACAAGAAAGACCACTAATATCATTATGGAAGAACAAAGACCAGTTATATAATGATGTTAGAACAAGGACCACTCATTTTATGATGTAAGAGCAAAGACCACTAATATCATGATGTAAAAAAAAGACCTGTAATTTAATTATGTAAGAACAAGGCCCACTAGTATCACGATGATGAAAAAATACCACTTATAATATGGTGTAAGAAAAAAGACCACAAATATCATTATGAAATAACAAAGACCACTAATATCATTATGAAAGAACAAAAACCACTTATATCATTATGGAAGGAAAAAGACCACAAAAATCATTATGGAATGAAAAAACCCACTTAAATCATGATGAAAGAACAAATACCATGAATATCATGATGTAAGATCAAAGATTCCCAAATATTTTCGAAGTCCCATTTTATAGTAGAAGAAAACTGACACAAGCCCCTGTTGTATTGAAATTGGATTTGAAATAAATTTCACTATTTAGCCCGATCAAATGTATGTGAAGTTGTCTTGTATCTTCATTATTAACTGCTACCCAGAATCTCTTTGAAATATTCCAAATTGCATACTTTTATTTTGGCACATAAATGTTGTTTTTTTAAACTTTGAACCTCCCTACATTTAATCGAGGGGCAATTGTGGAAATGTAACCCTTGGCTTGGTCGTGTTTATATGAAAAATTATAAATCCGTTACTACTGGTGTGTATTAAATACTAAAGTCGTTTTAAAACCACATTACACTGTTTAAATCATTATAGATTACACTTGATCGAAAATGAAAAAAAACAAAAAAAATTTATTGCACTAATTTAGAAACTGAATATTTTTAATTTTTACCAGATACAAAAAAAAAAAACTTTTAGAAAAAAAAAAAAAATCAATAAATCCTAAAAAAAAACAAAACAAAAAATTTTAAATTATTATAGATTACACTTGATCAAAAATGAAAAAAAACAAAAAAAATTTATTGCACTAATTTAGAAACTGAATATTTTTAATTTTTACCAGATAAAAAAAAAAAAAACTTTTAGAAAAAAAAAAAATCAATGAATCCTAAAAAAAAACAGACCAAAAAACTTGTTTCATCTCGGAAGGTATCCGAATGTTTTGGGGATTTTTAAATCTAACCATTCTAAATACATTTTTTTATTCCGTAAAAATGTCAAGATGATGGGAGATCTTACAAAAGGAATTCTATAGTCTTAATGTATGAGTCAACGTTGAAGCAATAAGCATTCCCCAAAATTATTTACATTGAAAGGTTTATTTTCAAACAACTATAACTTCTTACAGAAAGTTATTATTACATGTAGGCCGCCTTTGAAAAACATCTGACATCTTAATTAACAAATTTTCTTGGCCCAAATCCAGTTCTTTTTTCAAATAAATGGTGTCTGTTATTAAGCGTACTAAATAGAAAAAAAAATGAAATGGAATTGATTTTAAATGATCGAAATACTATTTCATAAAAACAGTAGTTTTAATTTTTAACATTATATTTGATACGAATCTAGAAATGTTCAGTTGTTTATATATTCTTGCAAATACTGGAAGTGGAGGTAGCGCCGATCGTTTATAATTTTGAAATTAATGAACAAAGAAATTAACTTCGCAAATTAATATATGTCATTACAAATTGTTTAATTATCTATCATTCTGAAAACCATGTCATGAAAGTGGCTAATAAAACATAGGGGCTAAACAATTTCAATTTATTATTAAGTGAGGAAACAGCGAGATCAGTTTTAGCATGTTGCGATAAAGTCTTTGAATTTTGTACGGAACATTTGCATTCATGGGCGCCCGCAGGTAGGGGCAAGGGGGGCACTTGCCCCCCCTGGATTGATTGGATAAAAAAATTTTAGACAAAAATAGACAAAAAATTTATTAAAGTAAAGAGAAAATAAAGAGAAAGTAACTAAGCTGATGTCCTGTCCTTCCGTTCACCATACAAATACTCTACAGTAAATTAAAATTATATTTAAACATTACTAAAAATATTTTGGCCCCCCCTGGAAAGTTAATAGATTTTTTTGCCCACCCCTAGAAAGTTTTCCGCGGGCGCCCATGTATGCATTATCGGTTTATCAAGTTTAAACGTGTTTTCTTGTTCATCCTGACTACATTTAAGTTATACCAGTAACTGTACACTTAAGGGCACAAGGTAATAACTGACTACATTTAAGTTATACCAGTAACTGTAGCCTTGAAAGCACAAGGGAGTAACTGACTACATTTAAGTTATACCAGTAACTGTAATCTTGAAAGCACAAGGAAGTAACTGACTATATTTAAGTTATACCATGTAACTGTAATCTTGAAAGCACAAGGAAGTAACTGACTACATTTAAGTTATACCAGTAACTGTAGCCTTGAAAGAACAAGGAAATAACACGCATATGTTTTAAACTTACACGACTCTATTTCGAAAGCTAATCTCATCATTTGAAGGATTACAATTTTAATCAGAATGCCAATATTTGAGGGTAAGATTTGTTTTTAAATATCTATTATTTGTGAGCGTTGGTGTCGATGTAAATGTACTTAATCTGAGTACAAGCCTCACTCTTTTCCTTTAATGTGAGTACAAGCCTCACTCTTTTCCTTTAATGTGAGTACAAGCCTCACTCTTTTCCTTTAATGTGAGTACAAGCCTCACTCTTTTCCTTTAATCTGAGTACAAGCCTCACTCTTTTCCTTTAATGTGAGTACAAGCCTCACTCTTTTCCTTTAATGTGAGTACAAGCCTCACTCTTTTCCTTTAATGTGAGTAATTAATCTAAGGGTCAGCAAAAAATTGGAAGTGGCCAAAAAAAAAAAAAAATTAATAAAAATATACCTTAGGCCTAGATCAAATAACGTTAGGTAGGGCCACTGCCAAAAATTCGAAACACCACGTCTCATTGCGCTAAGCGATGTTTAATTGGTTTCACTTTTTAACTAATTATTGTCGGCCAAAATGTTCATTTATTTGACGATATCACTTATTTTCGGGCTAAATTTTTCATTGGTTTCACTATTTAACCATACAGAAAATACCATAGTTTACTGTCATTTTTAAAAATATTATAACAATTAACAACTAAGATTTTTTTTTTTAATGGTAATGGCAATGTTTTTTTCTTCTGATGTCACATCTTCCTCCAGGGTTGAAGGGAAATCTTTAAGCGAGTCTTTCACCCTTTAAAATATCAACAAAGCCCATACAGTTAAAGATTACTAGCTGATATAATCCGGAATTTCATTGACTCAAATCTAATATAACAGGCCGGTGCCAAGTGAAATATAACAGCCCGCTCAAAAGTGAAATATAACAGCCTCGTATAAAGTCAAATTGAACAGCCTGGTCCAAGTAAAATTGTTCAGCCTTTACCAAAAGGATTATAGAACAACTCTGTCCGAAGTGAAATATAACTGCAACGTCCAAAGGGAAATGTAACAACCCGGTCCAAGGTAAAATATAAAAGCACAGTACAACGACTAATATAACAGCCCCGTCCAAAGTCTAATACAATATCCCGGTCAAAAGACTAATATAACAGCCCGGTCCAACGTCTAGTGTTATTACGAGGTCCAACGTCTAATATAATAGTCCGGTTCCGGTCCAAAGTCTAATATAAAAGCTCGGTTCAAAGCTTAATATAACAGCCAGGTCCAAAGTCTAAAATAACAGCCTGGTCCAAAGTGAAATATTATAGCCCTGTTCAAATTTTAATTTAACAGCCCAGCCAAAAGTTCAATATAATAGCCCTGTCATAAGTTAAACAAAACAGCCCGGTACAAAGTCTAAATATAAAAGCCTAATCGCAAGTTACAGCCTTTTACAAAATTAAATATAACAATCTTGACCAAACAGAAATATAACAGTCTTGACCAAACAGAAATATAACAGTCTTGACCAAACAGAAATATAACAGTCTAGTCCAAACAGAAATATAACAGTCTAGTCCAAACAGAAATATAACAGTCTAGTCCAAACAGAAATATAACAGTCTAGTCCAAACAGAAATATAACAGTCTAGTCCAAACAGAAATATAACAGTCTATAGTCCAAACAGAAATATAACAGTCTAGTCCAAACAGAAATATAACAGTCTAGTCCAAACAGAAATATAACAGTCTAGTCCAAACAGAAATATAACAGTCTAGTCCAAACAGAAATATAACAGTCTAGTCCAAACAGAAATATAACAGTCTAGTCCAAACAGAAATATAACAGTCTAGTCCAAACAGAAATATAACAGTCTAGTCCAAACAGAAATATAACAGTCTAGTCCAAACAGAAATATAACAGTCTACTCCAAACAGAAATATAACAGTCTAGTCCAAACAGAAATATAACAGTCTAGTCCAAACAGAAATATAACAGTCTAGTCCAAACAGAAATATAACAGTCTAGTCCAAACAGAAATATAACAGTCTAGTCCAAACAGAAATATAACAGTCTAATCCAAACAGAAATATAACAGTCTAGTCAAAACAGAAATATAACAGTCTAGTCCAAACAGAAATATAAGTGAGATATAACAGCCTATTCCCACATATTCAACTCTAACAGTCCAGTCCAACATCAAATATAACAGCCCGTTCCAAAGTGTAATATAACAGCGCGGTCCACAGTCTAATATTAAAGCCTGATCCAAAGTCAAATATATCAGCCTGTTCCTAAGTCAAAATTCACAGGCCTGGTCAAAATTTTAATTTATCAGCTCTGTCAAAATCTAATATAATTATTTGGTCCAACGTCAAATATAATAGCCTGGTCAATAGTATAATATAACAGCCCTATCCAAAGTGAAATATAACTGTTTGGTCCAAAGTATGAAATAACAGCCTGGTGCAAAAACGGATTATAACAGCCTGGTAAAAAGTCAAATATAACATCTTTGCCAAAAGTGAAATATAAAAGCCTTTTCAAAAGTGAATTATAACAGCATATTCAAACGTGATATATAAAAACATGATCCAAAGTGAAATATAACAACCCTGTCTAACAACTAATTTAACAGCCCTGTCCAAAGTCAAACATAACAGCCCGGTCCAAAGACTAGTATATAACCCCGGTCAAATGTCTAGTATTATCGCCCCGTCTAACGTCTAATATAACAGACCGATCAAAAGTCTAATATAACAGTCTGGTCTGAAGTCAAACATAACAGTCCGGTCCAAAATTAAAATTAACAGCTTGTTCCGAAGTCAAATATAACAGTCCTGTTCAAAGTCTAACATAAAAGCCTGGACAAAGATGAAATATAACAGCCCGGTGCAAATCAAATATAAAAGCCCAGTCTAAAGTTTAATATAACAGCCAGGGCCAAAGTCTAAAATAACAGACTGGTCCAAAGTGAAATATAACAGCCCGGTCCAAGGTGAAGTATAACAGCTCTTTCCTAAGTCAAATGTAACAAACTCTGTCAAAGATGAAACATAACAGTCAGGTCCAAAGTTTAATATAACAGCAAGTTCAAATGTGAATTATAATTATAATGTGAATTAAAATAGTACAGCCCTGTCCAATTTCTAATATAATAGCCTAAACCAAAGTCTATTATGACAGCCTGGTCAAAAGTAAAATATTACAGCCCTGTCCAAAGTCTAATATAACAGCCTAAACCAAAGTCTATTATGACAGCCTGGTCCAAATAAAATATTACAGCCCTGTCCAAATTCTAATATAACAGCCTAAAACAAAGTCTATTATGACAGCCTGGTCCAAGCGAAATGTAACGCCCTTGTCCACAGTGAAATATAACAGCGCAGCTAAAAGCGAAATATAAAAGCCTGGCCAAACGTCTAAAATAACAGCTCTGTCCAAAGTCTAATATAACAGCCCTTTCTAAAGTGTAATGTAACAGCTCTGTCCAAAGTCTAATATAACAGCCCTTTCTAAAGTGTAATGTAACAGCTCTGTCCAAAGTCTAATATAACAGCCCTTTCTAAAGTGTAATGTAACAGCCCGGTTCAAAGTCTAATATAACAGCCCTTTCTAAAGTGTAATGTAACAGCTCTGTCCAAAGTCTAATATAACAGCCCTTTCTAAAGTGTAATGTAACAGCTCTGTCCAAAGTCTAATATAACAGCCCTTTCTAAAGTGTAATGTAACAGCCCGGTTCAAAGTCTAATATAACAGCCCTTTCTAAAGTGTAATGTAACAGCCCGGTTCAAAGTCTAATATAACAGCCCTTTCTAAAGTGTAATGTAACAGCCCGGTTCAAAGTCTAATATAACAGAACGAGCCAAAGTCTAATAGAGCAGCCCTGCCCAAATTCTAACCTAACAGCCCGGTTCAAAGTCTAATATAACAGCCCTTTCTAAAGTGTAATGTAACAGCCCGGTTCAAAGTCTAATATAACAGAACGAGCCAAAGTCTAATAGAGCAGCCCTGCCCAAATTCTAACCTAACAGCCCGGTTCAAAGTCTAATATAACAGCCCTTTCTAAAGTGTAATGTAACAGCCCGGTTCAAAGTCTAATATAACAGAACGAGCCAAAGTCTAATAGAGCAGCCCTGCCCAAATTCTAACCTAACAGCCCGGTCAAAATTTCGAATACAACAACATGGTCCAAAGTCAAATATAACAGTTCTGTCCAACGTCTAATATAACATCCAGTTCCTTTTTCAAAATAAAAGCTTGGTCCAAAGAGTCTTTTTTTTTTAAATTTAACCTTTAATATATATCTTAGGCCATGTTACCGTAGCATAAAGTACATCAGTTATTAATAAGGGGTGCCAGTTGAACTTTGACAGTGGACTTATTGAAAACGTTTTTTAAATGCCATAGACTGAAGGCCTCCATTATTAAAATGCCATGTCCAAGTACGATGCGATGTGTTAATTTATTTCAATAACTTAAATATTTTCTTTTTTTTTTAATAAAGAAAAACATATATTTCAATTATTATAATATTTATATTGAGCTTTGATAATATCGATGCGATCATAATGAAGACAATGGACTGTGGTAATATCGATACGACCATGATGAGGACAATCAAATGTTGTCATATTGATACGACCATGCTGATGACAATGACCTGTGATCACATCGATACGGCCTCGATGATGTTCACAATGAACGGTTGTCACATGGATACGATCATGCTGATGACAATGAACTGTGGTAATATCGATACGACCATGATGAAGACAATGAACTGTGGTAATATCGATACGACCATGACAAAGATAATGAACTGTGGTAAGACCATGATACCACCATGATGATGGTAATCAGCTGTAATCATGCTAATATTCCCGGAAGCGTCAGTATGTAAATAAATTAATGTTTATACCAAGATACGATACGCCCTCGGTGGCTTAAGTAGATTTGGTCGCATATGAATTATCCGATTAGTGTATATTGCGTGATTGAATTTTACTGACAGGTGCATCTGAGTATAATGAAAGCCTATTTTAAAGCATCATTATTTACCAGAAATGTCTCTTACTGTATGTTGTAATATACGCCAGTGGCTTAACAAGTGTTGGTGTCACCCGATGTGGTAAACTCATGATGCCCCCCCCCCCTCGACTTCAACAATAGAATTTTTCTTGTTAAAAAGTCCATGCTATTACCATAACAAGGAAAAAAATGAATTAATTCAATTTCAGTACGTAAATGTATAAGTAAGAACTGTAAACATGTTTTCTTAGAATCGCCATTAATTATCAATGGAAAGTTTTATGTCCAAAAAGTTAGATGAGTATAGCTTCCTGTCACCTAAGAAAGTTACCTAGCAATTAAATGGGCGTTGAATCATGTTCAAAATGATGTTTTTTCTGACCTCATCTTAGGGTCACCTCATTTCTGACGCATCAATCTTAAAATTTTAATAAATCACGCTTTTGGATAGGTTATATATGTGGAAAATTTACTTTTGATCGTCATTCATTTATGAAATGAAAATGTTAGACCGAGCAGTGTGTGTTCTGTAAATATGCAATTTTTTAATTTGGTGTCACCCTACTGAGATGGTTTTCACACATGTGTGTTTTTAAAAACGAAAAGAAATAATTGAAGATATACTACTTATGGCTGACAGTGCTACTGCTTATGGCTGAATGTGATACTGCTTATTCCTTACTAAAATAGTGCTTATTGCTAACAGAGATACTGCTTATGTCTGACTGAGATACTGCTTATGGCTGACTGAGATTCTGCTTATGGCAAACTGAAATACTGTTTATGGCTGAAACACTACTAATGGATGACTGGCTTATATATTGCTTATGGCTAACTGAGATACTGCTAACTGATGACAGACTGATACTGCTATGACTGATTGAGATACTGCTTATGAGTCACGGTGATACTGCTAATAGATGACTGAGACATTGCGTATGGCTGAGCGAAACACTGTTTATGGCTGACTGAGATAATTTGTATGACTGAATGTAATACTACATATTGCTGAATGAGATCCTGCTTTTGTCTAACTGACTGAGATACAGCTAATGGCTGAGTAAGATACTGCCTATGGCTGAATGAGATAAGGCCTATGGCTAACTGATAAAGCGCCTATGGCTAACTGAGATACTGCCTATGGCTGACTGAGATTCTACTTATCTCCGACTTATTTTAACGTAAATGCAGTTATGCATACATAGAAACACAGACACATATATACACACACAGATACATACATACATACAAACATACATATATGCAAACGTACATACATGCATACAAACATACATACATACATACATACATACATAATAATAAGAAGAAAGTTCATTTGAAAAACACGCTTCATCCACAAAAGCTCGAACTGCGGTACAAAGTCAACCATATCAAAAAAGAGAAATAAAAACAATCTAAAATTGACCACATTTAAAAACAGACGCAACAGTATAAAACCCAGTCATCCCATTTCAACTATAAGCAACAAACTAAATATAAATTAACTGAAAAAAGATGGTAGATAGCATCACCCAAGAGGGTGTTTGCGACATAGATGTGTTTTTAAATCGGGTTTAAAGGACTGCAGGATCTGGCTGTTTCTGAGGGCGACTAGAAGGGCGTTCCAGATTGTTGGGCCAGCAAATAAAAAAGTGCGCTTTCAATAAGTCTCAAGGATGCCACTATCGGATGAGCGGAGCTGTCGTTTTGGTACATAAGGCGTCATGAGTGCATGCAATATTATACATGAACATGTACATACATACATTCATCCATGAATACAAGATATGGTGAGTTGGTATACTATATAGCTTCATTTAGTCACAATATACATACATATATACATAATACATAAATACATAAATACGTACGTACGTACATAAATACATACATACATACTTGTACACATACATGCACACATACATGCACACACACTCACACACACACACACAGACACACACACACACAGACACACAGACACACACACAGACACACATACATACATACATACATACATACATACATATTTACATACATACATACATACATGCATACATACATACATACATACATACATACATACATACATACATACATATACACATACATATTTACATACATACATACATACATACATACATACATACATACATACATACATACATACATACATACATACATACATACATACATATATACATACATACATACATACATACATACATACATACATACATACATACATACATACATACATACATACATACATACATACATACATACATACATACATACATACATACATACATACATACATACATAAATACGTACATACATACATACGTACATACGTACATACGTACATACGTACATACGTACATACATACATACGTACATACATACAAACATACATACATACCTACATACATACATACATACATACATACATACATACATACATACATACATACATACATACATACATACATGGCATCTTTCCGTCTGCGGGAGACGATAGATTATCTTTATTGCTTGCAGCTCTTGGTGAAGCTGGTGAGACCAATCCTCGAATGACAGTCTCTGTTACATTTCCCACACACGAATGCGGTGGAGCAGTATTTACCGGCCTTCCTCCTTGCTCTTTTTGCAGCTGTTTCCACCCTGTTTTGATCCTCGGCATGTAGTGATCATACCTTCACGATGCCCCGCCATGAGGATCGATCCTCTGCCAGCTCCTCCCAGTTTGAGATGTCGATGTTGGCCGACTTCATGTCTCTTTTGCATATGTCTAAGTATCTCAGACGAGGCCGTCCAACTGATCTTTTCACTGTCGCCAGATCGCTGTGTAGCACCTTATTTTGGTATGCGACCCGATTGCATGCGCTTGACGTTTCCAAGCCAGCGGAGGCGTATTTGGATTAACATGGCTGGGACGCTACACATGTTTGTTTGGGACAGGACATCCGTGTTGGGGACTTTGTCTTGCCATTTAATGTCAAGGATGTGGCACAGGCATCTGAGGTGGAAGCCATTGAGCCTTCTTTCGTGTTTAGAGTATGTGGTGCACGACTCACATCCATACAGAAGTGTGCTCAGTACGCAGGCCTGGTACACCTGCAGCTTAGTTCTTGTTGTGAATTTGGCGTTTGACCAGACTCTTTTCTTCAGTCTGGCCATAACAGTTGTGGCCTTCCCTATCCTCCCACTTATCTCATCCTCCATTGAGAGGGTGCTCGATATGTTGGATCCCAGATATGTGAATCTGTCAACAGTATCCAAGTCGTAGTCGTCGATGGCGATAGTGGGGAGGGAGTCAGCGCCCTGTGCCATAATGTTAGTTTTCTTTAGGCTAATTGTCAGGCCAAACTCTTTGCAGGCAGCGGATAGGCTGGATACGAGGCTCTACAGGCCGTTTGCTGTGTGAGATACCAAAGCGGCATTGTCCGCAAACAAGAACTCCCGCAGCAAAACCTTTCTTGTTTTAGTCTTAGCTTTAAGTCGGGCAATGTTGAATAATTTTCCGTCATCTCTAGTTTGGATGTATATCCCCTAGCTGTTGTTCTGAAAGGCATACTGGAGTAGGGTGGAGAAAAAGATTGCAAATAAAGTAGGAGCCAGCACGCAACCTTGCTTTACCTCACTACTCACTGGAAAAGCTTCTGAGGCGGCACCCTTATAGCACACTGTGCCCTGCATGTTTTTGTGGAACTGCTTGATGATGTTAAGCAGCCGTGTAGGGCAGCCTATCTTTTTGAGGATCTGAAACAGGCTGCTTCTGCTGACAAGATCAAAAGCCTTAGTGAGGTCGACAAATAAAATGTATAAAGGCATATGTTGCTCCCTGCACTTCTCCTGCAGTTGGCGCAGAGAGAAGATCATGTCTATGGTTGACCTACTGGCGCGAAAACCACATTGCGATTCTGGGAGTACACGCGATGCTAGGGTCTGAAGGCATGTTAATGCAACTCGGGCGAAAGCCTTTCCAACTATGCTGAGGGGAGAGATTCCACGATAGTTGTTGCAGTCACTCTTGTCTCCTCTATTTTTGAACAATGCAACAATGTTTGCATCTTTCAACTCTTGTGGTAACCGTCCCTGTTCCCAGCACAGAGTAAGTAGATCGTGCAAGGGCCGTAATAGTACTCCTTTTCCACATTTGAGAGCTTCTGGTGGGATACCATCATTGCCCGGTGCTTTCCCACTGGCGAGACAATCGATGGCTCTACGTAGCTCTTCTATTGTGGGTAGGGTATCAAGCTCCTCCATGACCGGCAAGTCTGGGATATCGTCCAGGGCAGCGTTTGAGACTTGGTTTATCGTTGCGTATATTTCCAAGTATTGCTCTATCCACCGCTTAAGTTGTTTATCACGATCAGTAATAATTTCCCCTGATTTGGACATTAAAGGCACAGTCTTGGAGATCAGAGGGCCTGTTGCTTGCTTTATATTCTCGTACATTGACTTTGCATCACCTCTATCAGCAGCTGATTGTATGCTGGAGCTTAGAATGAGCCAGTATGTGTTAGCATAGTGGCGAGCTGTCTGCTGGCCTTTTGTCTTGGTGCTTACAAGCGATTGTAGAGTTGCTGGGCAAGGCCTGTCTTTATAAGCTAAGAGGGCCTTTCTTTTTGCATCGGTGACATGTTTCATTTCCTGCCAATGGGCCTCGAACAAATCTGCACTTTTGTGCTCTCTCTTTCCAAATGCCGTGATAGCCGAGTTATAGATAGTCTCCCGCAAATGTGACCATTTGGACTTAATAGTGTCCATTAGTGGCGTTTGTACAAGAGCTTTTTGTAGACTATGGGTGTATACTTATGTTCTCTCTGGGTTTTTGGTGGAGCAGATGTTTATGCGTGGTTTACTCTTGTTTTTGGTGTGATACAGTTTCTTTGGCTGTAGCCTTATCTTGCTAGCGACTAAGGAATGATCAGTGTCGCAGTCTGCGCTGTGGTAGCTGCGTGTGAGGAGGACACTGGCCAGTTGTGTGCGTCTTGTGATTATGAGATCTAACTGGTGCCAGTGTTTAAAGCGGGGATGCCTGCATGAAACTTGGTGGATGGCCTTCAGTTGAAGTAGGTGTTAGTTACACATAGTCCATGTAGACATCACAGTTCCAATAGTCTCAGACCATGAGATCGCTTCCTACTCTTGCATTGAAGTCACCCAAGAGGTAAATTGCTTCATTGTTGGGTATGCTGGCTATTGTTTGATTAAGATCTTCGCAGAACTGGTCTTTGGCTTCTGAGCTGGAGGAAAGGGTTGGGGCATAAGCACTGAGGATGTTGACTAAACCTGAAGATGTTGATAGTCGGTTAGTTAGTATTCTATTAGTGCCCTGTATCGGTGGTTCTATGGAAGAGCAGAGTGTGTTTTTTATAGCAAAACCAATCCCATGTTGTCTTGGTGCGTCCATTGGTCCACCCTGCAAGAAGAAAGTGTAGTTGAGTTCTCTTATGATACCAAATTCGGGGAGCCTAGTTTCCTGGAGACAGGCAATATCAATGTTTAGCCTGCTAAGCTCTCTATCAACGCTAGCTGTCTTCCTTGCATCGTTTATGAGCTGCAGGTCGGCAGTAATGCCCGGGCACATAGTCCTTACATTCAAGCTTGCTGGTCGAAGAGCTGGGGTCTTCTTTTCTTTTGTTTTCTTATTTCTAGGTGCATGTGTTTGTGGCCCCTGAGCTCCACGCACCCAGTGAGACATGGCGATCTCTTCCACCGTCAGAAGCAACCCCTGGCGCCCAGCTCTAAGCCGATTAAACTATGGCTTAAAACCGGCAACTGCTGCCTCACGTGTTGTGTTCATACCATTCGGCGGTGCTGGAGTGTCCTTTCCAGTAAAAATAAAACCTGGGCGAAGTAGTATGGATAATCAGCTTTTCCCGTGTGGGTATAGCCGCAAGGCAGCGGAGGTTTGGAGTCAGAGTTTCCCTCTCCTATATGAGCTACCGGCCATGGTTTACGAGTCTCATCTACCAGAAGCAATATATATATATAGTGTAATATTGTAATTGTGCATACGATAAGTCACTTCGTGTGTTTCAGTCTGAGAGCACACACAGGAATAGAGTAAGACAGGAAGTGGTAACAAACATGGCGCTTAATATGACCAATGCAGTACAAAACCCCAAATCACATAAATAGCTAAGCATAGTGAAGACAGTGACTTTTGGCTCATCCCTTGACCAGCAATGTGAGATTTTAGTTTATAAATCACAGTTTGTTGAGGATTTACTTGGCTAATAATGTCAGAGTCAAAGAAATATTCTTCATCAAAAAAACATGTACACGAATCCCATCTAACCGGAAGTTAACATACATACACACACACATACATACATACATACATACATACATACATACATACATACATACATACATACATACATACATACATACATACATACATACATACATACATACATACATACATACATACATACATACATACATACATACATACATACATACATACATACATACATACATACATACATACATACATACATACATACATTCATACATAAATAATATAAATACATACATACATACATGCACACACATATATACATCCATGCATATATACATTTATATATATATATATATATATATATACATACATGCATATAAACATACACATTCAACGATGCATACATGTGATGTTAAATTGGCACATACATTGTTGTGAAAACTCACCTTTTTTTCTCAGCAATTGTGTCTTATTATGTGTAATAAGCGTGCCCTTAAGGAGAATAGTCCGACACGTGTACTCTCCAGCATCGTCACACGATGCGTTCGTGTTGTGTAGGATAATCACTTGATCCTCTGGTCTGCTCATATTATAATAGTGGAATGTCGCCTTCCATGGCCAAATAATATGTTTTGGTTGCTGAAAGTGAAAGACGACCAATTATTGCGTTGTACCATTAGAACGAACATTGAAATAGAATTGAGCCTGAAACACTACATTTAATATAGTACACAAAGAAACCGTGATATTTTTCGTGGATATCTCTCCACGCATTCCTAAAATGAACAGTTACATCGACCTCGGTTAACTTTTGTGCTAAAAATTGTTGCAGAAAATGATAATAATGGAAGCTCGAAAAGACAGCGAGAGGCCCAAAAGGTGTGATTTTTTTTGAGGTACCACAAGATGGTAACATGCTCAAGGTACACGATGGTCATTAAAAGAATTTTGGAATTCTTTTTTGGAGGAGTAGTCTGGAGACTTGAAGAAAGATGGTGAATGGTGTTTTGAGATTTTGAGAGTTTATTAGAGAAGAGGGTTGCTAGAATGTGACCAGTTAAAAATTGTCTGGGAAGATTAGCATGGTGACTGATTTTGAATCGTTTTAAAGAAAAGGGTTTTGATGTGTATACTGCCTGGACTGAGTAAGGTGGACGACTTAGATGGGTATACTGCTGAATTGAGTTAGAGGCAAAACTTGGATGGGTATACTGCTGAATTGAGTTAGAGGAAAATCTTAGATGGTTATACTGCTGAATTGAGTTAGAGGAAAATCTTAGATGGGTAAACTGACTCGATTGAGTTGGTGGAATATCTTAGTTGTGTAAATAGCTTGTATTAAGTAGGAGGAATATCTTAGATGGGTAAACTGCCTAGATTGAGTAGGAGGAATATCTTAGATGGGTATACTGCCTGTACTGAGTAGGAGGAATATCTTAGATTGGTATACTGCCTGTATTGAGTAGGATGAATATCTTAGATGGGTAAACTGCCTGTATTAAGTATTAAGTAGTAGGAATATCTTAGATGATTAAACTGCATTATTGAGTAGGGGGAATATCTTACATTGGTAAACTACCTGTATTGAGTAGGAGGAATATCTTAGATGAGTATTACTGCCTTGATAAAGATGGAAAAAAAATTGAGTTAAATATTCTGCCATTATGGAGTTGAATGATCATCTTAGATGAGTAAAACTTTTAGACTAAATATAAAGAACAAAGTGAATTGAGTACTGCTTTGATCGGCTTGAAGGCACATCTTGCATGAATATTCTATTGGAATGAATTGGGGAACGACTTGAATGACTATAAGGCCCGAATTTAGATGGTAAACAAATTTAATGGATATTCTGCCAGGATTAAATTTGAGGAACATTGCACATAGATATACTGCCTGAATTAAGATGGAGAAACATCTTAGATTGATATTTTGTTTTGAAAGAGTTGGAGGAACAACTAAAATATATATACTGCCTAGATTAAGTTAAAGAAAACGTAGATGGATATACTGCCTAGATTAAGTTAGAGAAAACGTAGTTGGAAAAACTGGCTTGATTAAGTTAGAGAAAACATAAATGGATATACTGCCTAGATTAAGTTAGAGAAAATGTAGATGGATATACTTCCTAGATTAAGTTAGAGAAAACGTAGATGGAAATGCTGCATGGATTAATTAAAGAGAAAGCCTAGATGGCTATACTGCCTAGATAAAGTTATAGAAAACGTAGATGGATATACTGCCTGCAGTGAGCTCCATTATTAAATCAGATTGACATACTGCCTGGATTGAGTTAGAGGACATCTTATATGGGTTATTGCCTGGATTAAGTAGGAAGAACATCTTAGATGGGCTATTGCTAGATTAAGTAGGAGGAACATCTTAGATGGGTTATTGCCTGGATTGAGTTAGAGGAATATATTAGATGGGTATACTGCCTTGATTGAGTTAGAGGAATATCTTAAATGGGTAAGTGTCTGGATGAGTTAAAGAAACAACTGAGTTGGGTATGATGACTGGATTGAGTAGTACGAATAACTTAGATTGTTATACTGCCTGAATTGAGTAGGAGGAAAATCTTAGATGGATTGAGTTAGAGGAACATCTTATTGGATAATCACCTCACGGGTATACTGCTGGATTGCGTAGGAAGAATATCTTAGGTGGATTACTACCTGGATTGAGGAGGCGGAAAACTAAAATGGTTTAACTGACTAGATGGAATTAGAGGCACATCTTAGATGATTGTACTCCTTGATTTAGTTAGAGGAACGACTTAGATTGGTATACTGACTGGATTAATTAGGAGGAATATCTTAGATGGATATACCTATTTGATTGAATTAGACGAACATCTTAGATTGGTGTACTGCCTTGATTTCCTTAAAGGAACAACTTAAATAGATAGACTGACTGGATTAATTACGAGGAACAACTTAGATGGTTATACTGAATGGATTACGTTGGAGGAACAAACAACGGAGATGGTTATACTACCTGAATTTAGCAGGAGGAACCACTCAGATGTATGTACTACCTGGGTTGAGTTAGAGGAACATCTTAGATGGCCATACTGCATGGATTGAGTTAGAGGAACATCTTAGATGGCCATACTGCATGGATTGAGTTAGAGGAACATCTTAGATGGCCATACTGCATGGATTGAGTTAGAGGAACATCTTAGATGGCCATACTGCATGGATTGAGTTAGAGGAACATCTTAGATGGCCATACTGCATGGATCATTTAATTGAAGGAAAACCTTTGATGAATGTACAACATGGATGGAGTTGGAGAAACCATTTATATGGATATACCTTCGGAAATGATTTTGAGAAACAACTTAGACATATCAGTATCAGATATATTGTCTGAATTGAGTTTATGGAACAACTTAGATGGATATAGTGCCTTGATTGTTTTGGAGGAATAATTTGGATGGATATATTGCATGGATTAAGATTGAAGAAAAACTTAATTCAATATACTGCCTTTATGGAGTTGAAGGAATATCTTAGATTAGTAACATTCATGGATTAAATCCAAAGAACAAACTGCTTGGATGTACTTGGAGGAACAAATTGCATGGGTATTTTGCCGTATTGAGTTGGGGGAACAACTTTGATGGCTATACTGCCTGAATTAAGCTCGTTGATAAACTTAGATGGATATTCTGCTGGATTGGTTTTGAGGATCAACGCAGATGGATATTCTGCCTGAATTAAGCTGGAGAAACATCTTAAATGGACATTCTGCTTTGATTGCGTTGGAGGAACCAATAAGATAGATATTCTGCCTATATTAAGTTTGAGAAAACTTATATAAATATACTCCTGGATTAATCTCATTTTTTAAAAATCAGATGGATACACTGTCTGCATTGATTTAAAGGAACAAATTAGAAAAATATTGGATTGAGTTCAAGTAACAGCTTAGATTGATATACTGCATGGATTAAGTTCGTAAAACATTTTTGATTAAGTACTGCCTGGATTGAGTTCGATTAACATATAAGATGAGTATACTGCCTTGATTGATTTCGCTGAACATTGGAGACGGGATTGAGTTTTAAAAAAAAAAAAAAAAAGAAAACATGTTTAGATGAGGAAACATTTAACTGACCAATGTAGAATCTATTGAAATTAATGAACAAAGTGCCATACACGCTCGTTTACCAATGCTAAGTTTAAATGTACTCATTTGGTGAAAGGACATTCCTACCGGATAAAACCCAAATTTACTTGAAGACATTATGGGTGTAAAATTTGATCCAGGCGAATCAAGAACTTTTCTAAATATGGCTAATGAGAAAATCGGCGATGGAGACTGGGTATCACCTATCACACGACTGAAGTCACAAGTAACTGTGAAGTTCTCCCCTTCAGCAATCTCAGATTTGTCTAGTATTGGGTTTAAATTCGTAGCTGTGGAAAAAAAAAGGGCACAATTTAAATAATAAGTTTCAAAACGTCACCAAGGTTCTATTTCATAATTATCCACAGGGCCTGCGCTGCGGCTGCTGGCCCCAGGCAAGCTGAACTTTGGCGCAACTTTGAAGCATAGTGATAATATATTGCAATGAGAAATTTAGGGTTAGCCAAGTAGTATTACTTAGGTTTTAAAAAAAAATAGATACATTGACAATAATATTGTTTGTCTTAACTTGAATTTGGACAGTATGAACAATAAACCGACTGATGACATTTTGTCCTTGCCGTTAGGTGTGGAAATCTTTTTATTCTACCTTCTATATTTATTTTCTTTGCATACACAAAATTGTCAAAGAATTCATTGTATCTTGAGACAGGATGGCGGTAAAGCCTTTCAGCATTAGATTTAATATTACCCACAGTTTTGGCATAACATCCTCGTTTAGTTTCATATTTCTTTTCATGAATTTATTGGCCTCGATTGGAAGCCTTACATCACGAGGAAGTAATTCTTTGGCTATATCTAGTTTAGTCAACAGATGACATCCATTTATGTTGCTATATTCTTGAGACCATATCGTATTCTATATACTTCACCTTACTACTTGGCGCTTATCTTTGTCTTGAAGATTTTTTACGTAATTCAAAATCCTTATATCATATTGAATTTTGTAACTGCCCAAATCTCTCTGATAAAGAATTTTTATATTTGTCCAGTATTGGATTAACCTCTCAATTTGTTTTTCCTGGGAATCTGCATTTAGAACCTTGACAGTAAACGCTTTCTTCTCATTACTCTCCTTACACTTTTATTTCTAATAACTATTTCTAAATCTAATTATGTGCAATTTAATTTTGCTTACTCCGGAGGTTACACAAAATTTAAATTTAATTGATTTCCACTTTCATAAATTAAATAGTCAGTGGCAATACTCATTAGTATATCTACTGTAGATAACTCCACAGAGTTGCCTTGTATAGTTTTGAGACAATATTTACAATTATCTCCTATTTCTAAAAAACTTGTTTCTACTTCATGTCGCACTCCTATATCAGACGCAGATATTTCTGGAAGTTCACAAATAACTTCTTGAATTCCTGTTATTTCAAATTTAACGGCTGTGACACATTCAATTCTGGGCTCTAAACCAGTTTCGCACGAAGGTTTCTCAGTGTGACTGCTGACATGCAATCAGGCAGAAAAGAAGTTATATTTGCGTTAGACATTAACAAAACTAGAGGAGGATTCTAGGAAACTTGTTGCACTGTCACCAAACACTAAGTTAGGGCTATGTCATCCAATAGGCATATAAAGGGTCAGTTGATTTTTTTCTTCACGATCCGTTCCTGCAGTTCTCAACTTTCCCTCTTCATATTTGAATCATTGTCGCAGTTTTGGCCTTTCCATTTTGTAAATATAGCTTGCTCTCTTTAAAAATAATAGTTTTTACTTTCATATAATCCTTTAAAGATAGTTTTATAATCAGTTTAATAGCTAAAAACAATTCTTGTGGCTGAAGCTTTTTATCAATAACTTTATTTTTCTGCAATCGCAATTCTGTTTCAAATCATTTACGGATTTCATTATAAATGGAATTTTAATTAATTTTTAAAAATTGAATATTGTAAGTTTTATATTTTGAAAATGCTGTATGTACTTTTTGAAGTCTTTGATGTTATTCATTTTTTTTTTACAAAAAATTAAATACTGTGTCTAGACAATTAAAACATTTTACGCCAATAATAAAATAAGAATATACTGTGTAGTGTAAATAAACTTCACCATGTCCAAAAGCAGCTGGTTTGCGCTACACAAAAATGTTAAGTTCTTTTCTCGAAAATTGCGAATACCGCGTTTGGAAAATAAACACTTTATACGTGGCACTTCAGACTTGTATAACTTTGTCTGGATAGGCATTAATCGTTTTCAGCACTTCCTTCCTTCCTTCTTTAATAGATGGCGTTTTTGACGTCAGTATCTGCTATATCGAGTTGTATTTCAGTTAGGATTAGGCTTTAGTGAGGTCACCGTGCGAGGATCGGCCTCATTTTTTCCCTGCTTTCGTGTAGGGCTAGAGCGTTCTCAACTTCGTGAACTGCATCCATAATGGAAAATGTCTTAAGCCTGGACTTCTTTACACATTTCTCCCGTCAAAGCAGGGTTCCTATCCATGCATTCGTCAGTATTGTTCTACTGTCTTTAGGACTACATTTTATCTCCTTGTGCTCGGCAGCTCTACATCTGCTATAATTTATCCTGTAACGGGGGGAGGGGGGATGGTTCGTATCGCCCTGCACACAAACCTGAGAGCTCGGTTCTTTGTGCGGTCCAGTCCCTCAAGAGCCACTCGGCTCAAAAAGGACTGGCCGGGAGTCTTTAGCCTAACGCCCCTCTCACAAAACCAATATTGAGATCTCGTAGCAGTCTTGTGGCCGCGACCGTCATTGCATGCCAGAATACTTTATTTGCAAAGGAATTTCCCTTAGAATAAAATCACACATTAATAAATATAATGCCCGCTGACACCATTTCCTAAAGTTTTATTTCAGTTCGGATGTATGACACACCCAAAGTTCCAACAGAATGCTGTTTGACACTGAAAAGTTCCATTAGAATGTATTACACTCCGATAATATGGATGCTCGCTCATGGGCGCCCGCAGGAATTTTCACAAGGGGGATCAACAAAGTTCGCCTTTTCATAATAAAAAAAAATGTAATTAGAGCTAAAGGGCAAGCATTTGTATTAATAGCAGCCTACCTTCTAAATGCGTTTTTTTTTTTTTTTTTTTTTTTTTTTTTTTTTTTCAACCATCAAACATTACTTTTTTTAAAAAAAATAATTTCTCAACATAAATAAGTTAGAGTTTATACAATGTAAACTATTAAGTTAGAGTATATGCAATGTAAACTATTAAGTTAGAGTATATGCAATGTAAACTATACAACTAATAGATCCACACAGTTCTTGATATTCGTTAGTTTCAGTCTTTGAAAAGCAATATAATGCGGTGTTTATCCTTTCCAAATTTTTCAATTATTTTCTGCATACACTCTGCCCTCTTTAAGCTCGATCTTCTTAAAATTTGACACGATTAAAACGTGTCATGATGGCAGTTTGAAGTCTGAAAACCTGGAACTGAGACTGTTGTCTCCAGAGAAACGGTTGGTCATAGATGTTATGTCATTATCGAATACAAGTACACAGCAAGTATTGCTTGTCTAAAGTAGCCTTAATGTCATCTTCAGATTCAAAATATTCACTCTTGTCATTTCAGTTTCAAGGATTGCTGCCATATACCTGTCGTCAACAAATACGATAACTCTTTATATTACTGTATTCTCCAGCTGCAAGAGCAATGTCCGCAATCACGAGGGCTCGTCATCTTAGTTTTATCTCAAGCTGCAAGAGCCAATTTCACACACACAAAAAAACGAGGGCTCTTCATCTTAGTATATTCTAAAGCTGCAAGAGTCTATTTCACAAATACGAGGGCTCTTCATCTTAGTTTTATCTCAAGCTGCAAGAGCCAATTTCACAACAACAAAAAAACGAGGGCTCTTCATCTTAGTATATTCTAAAGCTGCAAGAGTCTATTTCACAAATACGAGGGCTCTTCATCTGAGTTTTATCTCAAGCTTCAAGAGTCAAGTCCACAAACACGAGGGCTTGTCATCTTAGTTCGTTATTATACTAAGTACATGTTACCATTTTGCGCAACCAAAAGCAGAGCTAGTTGCAATTTTTTTGAAATTCTATTTTTGTCACTGTGTTCATTAGTTTAAACTTGTATAAATCTTAGGTTTATATTTTGCCTGTGTCAAATATGGATTTTGGTGTAATAAACCAATCAGTAGAGGAATTAGACCAATGTTCTAAGAAAAGAGCTATATTCAATTGCTAAATATTTAGAAATAAGTGTACCTCGCTCGACAGTAAAAAAGGCAGCACCAGATATGATCGTCCCTATTTCTTGGATGATGATATGTTGTCTGAGGATGCAATGGCCTCACTCACACAGTAGAATGATCCTAGTATGGATCTTCAACTAAAGCTAAAACAACTAGTGCTAGAAAAAGATCGTGAGCTCAAACAACTGGAGCTAGACGCTCAGAGAAAAAAAAAGAAGGAAAAGATAGAGAAATGGAAATACAATTAAAAGAAAATGAAACAATGGCCTAATTGAGAGCAATGGAGATTAGACTCACGGCTTCTGTAGGTCACGGTTGGGATGCAATTAAATTTGCAAAAGTAATACTTACATTTGCAGAAAAATAGATGGACCAATAGTTTGCTCAGTTTGAAATAATTTGCCGAAAATTTTAACAATCCTAGAAATAAGTGGTCTACCTTACTGTAACAAGTTCTGACAGATAGAGCAGCCGAAAATTGTGTGTCCTAGGACGCGGAACAGCGTGAGGACTATAACATTGTAAAATCCTTAATACGGTTTATAACGGTGTCCCCGAAGCCTACCGTAAAAAAAGTTTAAGGAGCCGTGGAAACGGGATGGCCAGACTCAGATAGAGTTTGTCCGTGAAAGGAAAAAGGACACCTGGTTAAGTGACTGCACGCAACGAACAGCCTTCAAAAATTTCATGAACCTCATTCTGATGGAGGAGTTCAAGAATTGTGTTCGTACATAGTTACGAACACACACTACAGACCGTGACAAAGGTCACACACATATGGCAGCAGTGTTAGTGGATGACTTCATCATCTCAAAGCAACTCCCAAATAAACCATTTCACACCAAAAATGACAGTATGACAGACACATCATCAAATTACACTAGACCTTTACAAAAATCATACAAACCTGGTACAAATGAAATAAGTACAAAAGTACTCGTGCCTACTGTACAAAAAGAAGAGCCAACGAGGGATGATTGTTGGAAACTCAAGAAGAAAACTGAGAAGACCACACATCCTGG